ATTAGTGTACATTTAAAGTGACAATAAAGTTATTCTCAGTTCTAAGTGGAGAGAAGAATGACAAACATGATAAAAATTCTGGCAGCTAAATTGTATATGATAACTGTTTTTTTTTTTTATTGAAAAGTTTTAAAATATTTTTACAAACAAATTTCCCCCCCTTCCTCCCCCCACTCATTCCCTTCTCCCTCCCCCCCCCGACTTCCCAGAGCAAAATACAGGGTATAGCATTTAACAAACATAATCAAACATAAACAAACTAACTATAAGCTCTTCACTCCCCCTTACACTTTAACTCCCCCGTACATACCAAAATATAAGAATATAGGAATTCACCTAAATATTTCATTCATAAGCTATTTGCAACTTTTTAGTCCCATATTTGTTTTGAATATAATCAATCCATCTTCTCCATTATATGATAACTGTTGAAGGAGGTAGACATGTCTAGCCTATTAAAGAGAAGGATTGGGGGAACATCTGTCTTCCTGTACTTGAAGGGCTCTCACAGAGAAGAGTGTCAAGGGCTAGGGAAATCAGGAGATCTATACAGTTCAAATGGGTATAAAGATTTATTGCAAGCTTAAGCTCTCTACAAGAATCTAAACTACTAACAGTTAAAGCAATTTGGCGGTAGAAAAGGAATTCAAGATAGGTGGACTTAGATCTCTTGTGGAAGAGATATTAGATCTCTGTATGAAGGGACTCATGATTCATGATGACCTATCCCTCAGGTTCAGCCTGGTTATCTCCTACAAAGAGGTGGTCAACCTATTTTCTAAAGCATCAGAGGCATGGATGCTATTCAGCAGGTTCTGACAGGTTCTGGAGAATTGGTAGCGGAAATTTTGAATAGTGTGGAGAACTGGCAAATACCACCTCTGGCTGGCCCCAGAGTGGGGTGGGAATGGAGATTTTGCAATATCCTTCCCCAGGAGTGGGGAGGGAATGGGGATTTTGCAGTATCCTTCCCCTGGAGCGGGGTGGGAATGGAGATTTTGCAGTATCCTTCCCCCAGGAGTGGGATAGGAATGGAGATTTTGCAGTATCTTTTCCCTGCCATGCCCATCAAGCCACACCAAGCCCACCAAGCCACACCCACAGAACTGGTAGTAAAAAAAATTGAATTCCACCACTGATCAAAGGGCAGGACAAGCATGTTAACCTAGAAGTCCAACCTAGAAGTAAGGAGATATTTTCTGACAGTGAGAACAATTAATCAACGGAATAGCTTGCTTCCTAGAGTTGTGGGCACTCCATTCATGTAGGTTTTAGAAATAGACTAGACAACCATTTGACTGGGAAGGTGTAAGATCTCCTGCCTTGAGCAGGGCCTTGGACTAGAAGACCTCTGAGATCCCGTCAAGTCCTATGATTCTTTGTTTCCATGAGTAATGCAAAAGACGAAGATATATGGGAAAGGCAAGAAGATTTCTGATTTTTTTTAGTGTGCCTTGATATGTTAGTGTCAATCTTCAGATTTACCGTCCTCTCCAGGAAAGCTAGTTTTAATCAGCACAGCAAATATGTCTCATCTCTATTACAAATGCAGCTTATTAATGAAGTTGTGCTATGCATAACTGACCACTTCACATCCTAGAAAGACTAGCTTTAAAATATTCATAAATCAGGCTAAGGAAACTTGTTTCAATTATTTTATTTGAATTCCATCCTTTTACCAGGAACAAATGATGATATGAAAAAAAAAAAAGAACTTTTCCTAAAATTATGATTGCTTGTGGGCACCCAGGGAAAATGCCATTTGTCGATCAGTCTCAAGCAGCAAATTATTGGGCTGGTCACAGGGATACTCATAGGAATTTAAAAAGAGACTCTGCAACCCAGTCTTGGTTTATTTTCATTAAGGAAATAGCAATGCAGGTGGCTGCAAATCTAACTATTTTTCCTCTATACATTTACACAAAACCAAGGAGCAAAACATAGGCCCAATTCAGTTTGCTATGACACCCTTGTGTCTTGCTGGATAGCAAGTAACTTTGTATAGTGGAACGAACATGTGGATAGAGAATAACTAGAGTTAGGAGTATAACTTTCATAAATAGTACAGTATTCTTAAGGTTGTTGCTTGTTTGAAAGAAAAGTAAAAATAAGTTTTATTTAGGAAAACTGGGGCTACTGAAGCCAACCTACTGCTAAGAATCTATAATGTAGTCATGAGTACTTGAATTGCACAAGTCAGAAAGAGAAGAAAAAGAATTAAATTGAATAAGGATGTGATGAAAAATCTGAAAATATCAGTTTAACCAATACGAGACACACTGAATGCATTTATGGGGAAAAAAGCCTTTCAGACAAGGAAAGAAGATAAAACCGCATAGTTTTCCACTATCTCTGCAGCTATCGCCCTTAGTTATTGAACAGTTTGTAGGTTGAGAAAGTGGGCACATGCAAAGTTGAATTTCAGCCCTGACTACCCCAATCTTCTTCCTGATAACACAAAAGTGACTTCGTTCATTCCCAGTTCAAATCTAAACCACAATTAAGTGCATAAACATACTCTTCCTTCTTCCCCTTTAAGCATTATTCCGTCATAACTTTGGAGTGGGTATCACTTTGTCATCCTTCATTTTGAAGGTGAAGTCAGATGACTCGTGGATCCAGGCAGAGGTCTGCTTAATGTTGGGACAGTGGGCACCCAACCATTCGTTCCTCTGGTCACTAATTAACTTTCACTGCAACCATTTATCTTTGCTTGCTTGGCCTGTTTTTGCTTTCTGAATTGCCTTTTAATCTGCATTTTGGTCCCCATCTAAAGGGGAACCAATAGTTTTGAAACTATTCTCACTCTTCTAGCCAGGCAAAAGAGCAGAGAATAGATCTCCATTACATTATCTGGGCATGAACAAAAGTTGTATTGGAACCAGGGGTGGTATTCACTTACCTTCGCTACCGGTTCACAACTGTGAACATGTGCAGGGCCTTCTGTGCATGTGCAGAGCGTCAAAAATGGGACATGATGATGTCTGGGCGGGTGGACGGAGCCTCCCGCAGCTGCTTCTACCGGTTCGCCCAAACCAGATAGAACCGGCTGAATACAACCACTGATTGGAACACTCCCACCAACACCGACAGGGCAAGCCACTTGCATATAAACAGAAAGCAAAAGTCCCACTCTTTTCTAGCACTGATGATGTTACTTAGTTGGGTAATGAAACGTCTGCAAGAAAATAACCAAGCTCAGAGAGCACTAAGGAGCCCACAATTCTAGATTAACTAAATAATCAACTAATTCACTAACATGATAAAAGCACCAATATTTTACTTGGGGAAGAAAAGGAGGTGTACTAGCACAAGTAACAACATTCTGAAATGGCATGAAATCTTTACCTTTAGTTCCATCTTTTCTCCATTGCAGAGCTCAGAAAAATAATAAGAGGTATTGAACTGAGCTTCTGTTACTTGTTTTCCATTTTCTCTGAATTTCAATTACTTTCTTCTCCCATAAAGGAAGGGGGATGACAGCTAGCAACTAGTCAACCTTAATCTTGCAGGTACCTTCTCTTCCCTAGATCCTAGTTCTACAGTTGGGAGAGTGAGTGTCTTCCACCTTTCTCTCTATTTTTGTTCTGCTGTCTTTCCATACCTTTCCTTATTTCACATCGTTTTAATTTAAGAGATACCCAAAGGGAGATGGACGGATCCGCAGACAAACCATCCTAGAAAATCCAAGTGTGGTCATGAAGTCAAACAGGTCCCATTCAATGCTGCAGCATCCTGGTTGGGGGATGCCTAGCCCGCTGATTAAGGAGAACTGTAGGGATTAGCACTACCAATCACTTTGTTGATAGGATTTAGTTTGATCCAGCCACAATGTAAGAACAGCATTTCGTATTTGTCCCAAAGTACATGCTATAAGAAGAAATCGAACCTCCCCTCCCCCCTTATTCCAAATAAAATATTAACCATAAGGAAAAACCTCAGAAAAACCAAAAGACCCAAGATGCTAATAAAAAAACCTGTCCGAAGCCCATTCCACATTCCAGCCAGACACCTAAAGAAAACATTGTAACAAGAAGCTAACGGCACTTAAGATAACGCGCTTATTGAAAGAGGAAGCCAACTATCTAGAGGGCTCCATTCATAAGCAAAGCAAATACTGCCAGCAGAAGTCCATTCAAGACAGGATATTTCAAAACCCCTTACAGCAATTTTGACAGCTAACAAAAGCAGAGTGATAGGATCAGAGCAAGCATCCCCTCATCCAAAAATCTAACAAAGGACGTAGCCATCAGCCACAATAAGAATTACCCAACACCCTTTCAGAACACAAATCCCATCTTACACAAACCCCAAACTTCAAAGTTACTGAACCATATAAGAACCCTTCCATTCACCCAGTTGGTTGGTCAGCTGCCCCAGAACCACAGGTTGGTTTTGCTCTTCCATGTACAGAGTCTTTCTTTCCAGTCGGCCTCCATATTATTTCCAGCGTCTTTCTCCCATCTGAACCAGATGGATTTTCCTTCCAACAATGCTAACTAAAAAATTCCAAGCCTCTCTTACTTACAACAACACTCTTGCTTCTCCACCCTCCGCTTCCCCCCCCACCCTTTTATATATACAGCATTCATTTCCTAATTAGAGAAGTGGGGGGGATGTTCTTAATAAAAAGCTCAGCAAGGGGGTAACTCTTGACTTCATCTGCATCCAGAGACAGGCAGAGTGGAGCCGGTAAGCTCCCAGGATGGGAGAATGAAGGAAAACTAGGGCTGCATCCTACACCGACGAACCAAAAAAAAAAAAAAAAATCGCCGAAGAAGGAAGCGCCGATTTCTTTTTGTGTCAAGGAAATGTTATAGTCACGACGTCGCCACTTTATTCCGAGGGGCACGCGCGTCGCAGGCGACCGGGTCTGGTTAAAGCGCGCCAAGTTTGACGGCACAAGAAAAGGCAAAGTGGCTGGTGGGGCCTGGCTCGTAACAAAAAAGTTCCTGCCACTAGGGAGCGCTGTTAGGGCGCCGCTTGGACTTTTAAGGTAAGGCTTGCTTCGGAGCCGCTGCGCGTCGACGGATGAGCCTAGACTACGCGCAACTGGTGGCGGGTTCCTCCTCCTCCTCTTCCTCCTCCTCCTCCTCCTCCGGGAGGGGACCTTCCTATCTCGCATGCCGGGCGGCAGAGGAGGCAGCAGCAGCACCTCTTCTATCCAAGCACCAAGGCCGAGAGGAGGAAGTTGGGAGCGGCAGACCTCGGGGGGCAACGGCTTTGCCGCCGCCGCCGCCCAACATGCGGGCGTCTCCCCAGTTGCCTCGCTGTGGGCGCCAGACGAGAGGCGGGCAGCAGCCGAAGCGGCGCGTGTGAGCGAGCGGGGAGCTCCTCTCCTCTCACAAGGATGCTGGGGGACGATGCCTCGTGGCAGGGAGGACGAGATTTGCCGGAAAGCGCTGAAGCTGCTGGTCGAGCTCTGCTCCGAGGGGACGGTCGAGAACGACAGGTGCCTGGAGTTCAACTACTACCTGCGGGACAGCGGCAGACCCCGGCCGGCCGACGCAGGTAAGCTGGGCTGGAGTGGCGGGAACACGAGGGGCTCCCGAGAACTTCCCAGATAACAACCAGAGACCTCTTCAAAGAAGCGGGCGCCCCGTGCCGGCTGCGCTGGGCGGAGGGGCGCGCGTCTATCCTATCAACTGCCCGAATGCTGCCCATTGGATCCAGGCGAGCGCGGAAAATTCGGGGCGTCGTGGGAGCGCGTGTCCGGGCTCCCCCCCCCATCCCAATTGACTTCGGACTGGCGTTTACTACCTGGTGGTGTTTGGAGGGGACTCGAAAGAGCAAACGATCCTTTCGTTTGTTCTCAACATTTGATTCCAAGATATATATTACATTGCATGTGAATCCCAAGGCGTTTTTATCCAACGCACCTTTACATTGTTACTATAATTTAGCGGTTTAACCAGATGTATCTTTACTCCAAGCTGAAGTCCTACTACAGAGTTCGGTGGAAGGCGGTCTCAGATGGGTTTCCATCAGTTGTGTGAAGCCGTCTGAGCTATTTTTAGACCCTGTCGGGTTTCCCAGCGCCGATGCAGTACTTGATGTAGGTATATAGAAAGAAAGGCACCAATCCTTCTCCAACAACTGTAGAATGACAGGAGATCAGGCTGGCATTGTATTCCTGAAGGCATTAACTTTGCACACAGCTCTTCCTGAAACTTACAGAGTACAGTATAAACTTCCAGGGCAATTCAAAATTTCCTGGACTATTTATCTTCTTATATATCCACCCACGTCATACACATCAGTAAAAGTCACAGTAATAAAAAGAATCAAATGTGAAAGACGCAGTAAGTCTCCTACTAGCATTTAAGCAACTGGGGAAATGTTATGCATTTTCACTTGATTCCTTTAAGATCAAACTGGCCATGATAGTAACTGGAAGCAAATCTTGTTTTTCTTGCTAACCTGTTTCCAGCTGGATTGGACTAGTTGCTCTTGAGTGAGTAGGTGCTGTCCCAGCATAATAATAAGCTAATTCATTTTTAGTGGTAATAAGTTGTAGCTAGACTGAGTATATTTGAAATTAGCCAGGCTAACTTTGGTAAACTCAGTTAGCAAGGATCAGGGGAGGGAACGTACATATGCCAAATGGTTAGAATGGTAAATGTTTATTTTCTTTCCTAGAACGATGCTTGTAATATTTCCTTGGAAGCAAATATGATTTAAAGAAGTCTGTTTTAAAATAAATGTAAATGTATAGCCTGAAGGAGTTTAAATTGTTTTGTTTTAGTAAAATCCATATTTGGTCCATTTATTCTGCAAGTAAATTTGTTGCACCACGTTTAATTTCCAACAGATCCAATACCCATACTAGCCTTTGTGGATAGGATTTATCCTGGATTATGTTTTAAACCTAACAATTTTAGTTTATCTTTTGAATAATGTACTCTTAGACATTTTTGTCTTTAAAAACTACTTCGGGGTGCATTGTTGCTGCTTTACTTTCTAAAAGGATATTAATTATTATTTTGCCCTGAAGTCCCAGAACTATTCCCTGAATATTAGGATATACTCTATTAAAAATTCAGTGTTCCCATTAATGCATTTACAACTGTATTTTAGCAAGGGAATGTTTTCCAGATTACTAACCAATGGCCTAGTGTATGTTTTTAAATTGGAATCATAATGGTTATCCAGTACACATCCAACCTCTAAAATCTACACATGGATAGTTCTTCCACATTAGTTACACTGCAGATACAGGTGTTGGCCAGCCTAGAGTAGGTCATGTAGATATCTACTGAGACACAAAAAGCTTCTCTCATGCCTGTATGTCACACTTTCTTCAGTATATCTCTTGCATACTCAATGCCATTTATATTCTTTTTTAAAATAGTAATATTAAAAATTACAATTTCAAAGAAAAAAACTAATACAAACTAAAAGAATAGAATGAAAAATAGAAAAGAAAAATAATAATATAGTAAAATATATAAATGAAGTCTTACAGAGAAAGGCACCCCTAAAATTAACTTCTAAGTAAATTATTCAAAAATATCCATTAATATATCAAATATTAAAATATTTTGCTTCATTCTGTATTAATAAGACAAATTTAAGAGTTCTTTAATTGTCATCTTTAGTTCCTTCTGATTCCCTATAGCATTCAATTTTCAAAGTCTCAACCTATCGTTTTTTAAAGAATTCAAAACAAAAGGATTTTCCCACAGAAAGGACTCATAATTAATTCCAAAATTTTCTTTCAAATTTATCTGGATCCTTAACCCATTTGTAACTTTCCAAAATGTACGTTCTTAAACTTGTACTAAAAATACTTGTTTTGTGAAACATTGAAGTATGATGGAATATAGTAAGGAGCTGTGATCTCAGGAGGGAGAGGGTGCATTCCAGAGGTTTAAGAAGCAACTCAATACAGTTGTTACATTTGAAAGAAAGAGAGTGAAGACATCCCCTCCCTAATAGTTCACAGAGTATATTGTAGATGCAGAGGGTAAAGTGCTCAATCCGGCAAGATTTCACCTATATCTGTGGAGACAATAAATAAGTCAACTTGGAAGAATTATTATGTATCATTCTTGGATTTGAACATGACATAAAGAAAACTCACCCAGTGTTTTCAGATTTGTCAGTCCAAAGATTCCTAATAGCTAAAAAAGCAATTTCAGAAAGTGATTAGAAAAGGAAGCAAAAAAGAAGGAATATAAAGTTGGTTTAATTGATTAAGGTTAAATATTTAGGATTTTTTTTTCTTAATTGGGTTTTTCTTGACCATGACTGAATGATGGGGCTTTACAGATTTGTTTATAGATAAGATATGGGAAGAAGATGTTTTTTCTTGTATTCTCAGAGGAGGTGTTAAAGCTAAGGTGTCAACTTTATAATCCTTAATTCTTTCATTAAGATTAATATATAGATGTTATTTCTAGGACATGTTAAATTTTTGAAGGAGTTTCTGAGACAAAGAGAAAATGATGAGAAATCAACTTGTGGGACACAATTTGAAAGGATTAATGATCAAGATTCTTAATATGTTGTTTTTTTCTGGTAGTTGCTAATGGTTTTTTTTTTTTTACTAGTTTTGAATGATGAGGCTTTAAAGATTGATTTATAGATAAGAGATAAGATAAATGAAGAAGGGTTTTTTTGTTGTTTACAGAAAATGATAAGTTACTGTACTAAAAGGAAAGGAATATAAAACCAATTTATTTGATTAAGGTTAAATATGTATGTTATTTCCAGTAATGTATGTGTATGTGAACTCAGTGTTCTTAAAAGTGCCAATTATGGTTTGAGCAAGATAGCTATTACTTTGCCTCCCAGAGCTTTAAACCTCCATAAGGATCAATTATCTGGAGCACTTATGGATGATCTCAAATCCTCTCCCTGTCTAGAGAGGTATTATGAAGAGCTGGTTTACTCACTGATTCGTTATTCTGCTGCGATCGTTGGCTCTGATTTTAGTGGATCTATCTTCCAAGTTTGCTTTTTCTTCTCTGAAGCCCTGCCATTTACATTCTTAATTTTGGTTTAGCAATAGCACTTAGACTTGTATACTGCTTCATAGTGCTTTACCCCTTAAGTGGTTTACAGAGTCAGCATATTGCCTCCAACAATCTGAGTCTTCATTTTATCTACCTCGAAAGGATGGAAGGCTGAGTCAACCTTGAGCTGGTCAGAATCGAACTCCTGGCAGTGAACAGTGAGTTAGCCTGCAATACTGCATTCTAACCCCTGTGCACCATGACTCTTCCTAACTGGAATATTTACTAGGAAACATATACCTTTGAATTCACTGGGGGTTCCAATTTGCTGTATATTTTTGATTGCTTGAGCCTGTGTTCTAGAGAGCAAGAGTAAACCAAAGTTAGCATCAAAGACAGGAATCTCTCCTATAATTAGAACATTGTTGCATTCTTAAAGTAGGGCCTGTGAAAAATATTAATAGCTTGTTTGCAAGTCTGTAGTGCATACTTCTATTACATGGATTGCTACATGCATATCTTTACTGGATATAACCTGGTGGAAACCTGAGGGTTACAAGTGAAGAATGACACTTGTACCTGAAGATTTACAGTTTGAAAGATAGGATAGGTGAGGTGACTGGAAATTCAAATCCTTTTCCCCTTTCTTCTTTTTGCATCTGATGAAGTAAACTCAACTCATGAAAGTTTGTGTGATTTAATAAAGTTTGTTACTCTAGAAAGGTGCTACTAGACTCCCGTTGTTCCCCTCTCTGTGATCTTTTCCTTCTCCTGAGTAGCCTTTCTCCCTTGGCCTGCCCTGGTCATTGTCTTCATTAGTATCTTTCACGCAGTTTTGTGTGTACTCCAGAAGTGGTATTCAGCAGGTTCTGACCAGTTCTGGAGAACTACTAGCAGAAATTTTGAGTAGTTTGGAGAACTGATAAATACCATCTCTGACCGGCCCTGCCCCCATCTATTCTCTGCCTCCCGAGTCCCAGCTGATCAGGAGGAAATGGGAATTTTGCAGTAACCTTCCCCTGGATTGGGGAGGGAATGGAGATTTTATAGTATCCTTCCCCTGGAGTGGGGTGGGAATGGAGATTTTACAGTATCCTTCCCCTGGAATGGGGTGAGAATGGAGATTTTACAGTATCCTTACCCTGCCATGCCCACCAAGCCATGCCATGCCATGCCACGCCCACCAAGCCATGCCCACAGATCCAGTAGTAAAAAATGTTGAATCCCACCACTGGTGTATTCCATCTTGTTTTCCACCTAATTCAGCATGCGTGTCCATTGAGCAAGGTCTATCTTTCATTTCAGTACTGTCTGTTAACTTCTGAAGAACAAATGTCAGTGTAAAGATTTCCCCAAACCTGTTGATGGGCTACTTAACTGTGGTCACCAGGACAACAGAACCTGCATTAAAATACAAAGTGGTCCTTTTGAATTACATGGAAGCTTCCACCAGAACAGGCAAAGTTCCATATTGTCTTGAGTCTTTAGTTACATTATTTACACTGTGATTTAGTAAACATTTTCTGTATATTGATAGTGCTTCAATAAAAAGAA